GCTCTTCGCGAATTGCTTGAGGATCCCAGGGAATCCCAGTGATCGATTTCAGCAACTCTGAATCATATCGATCTTCTTCGGGCTTTCTTCGAATGGACTGCACTGTAAAAACGCCACAGGTGTTTCCTACTATCTTCTCTGTGGTTGTGTCTTTCACTCCTAGAAAAATTCCCTTAGTCCATTGGGCCTCGAACTTGTGACCTCTCTTGAGGTATCCGATGGCCTCACCGAAAGGTGGAATCGCTACTTTCCATTCACGTCCACGAAGTCTTGAGTATGGCGTCTTTCCGTCTTGGAGTTCGGTAGATCGGAAAAACAGGTTGTAGACTGTGGATGCGTGTTCAACTAACCAAGTCAAAATAGGTGAATCGTCAAGAAGTTTCTCACCATAGTTCGACTCGATCGCGGCTCGAAGCGTCCTTGCTTGTCCGTCCAAGGGTTGAACTGCTCGTTCAATTTCTCCCTTGGATTCTTTGACTCCTTTCGGGCTCTTCTCGATGATCAAGGTTCCTTCAAAACCATTCTTTACTGCCTCAACGACGGAAGTGAGAGCAGGTTCGGGATCATGTCGAATTACCAGCTTGGAATACCCTAGTTTCTTGGCGTCGTTCAGGAGTACCTTGGATCCATATGGACCCTTTGTAGGGTAACACGTGGGCAAAAAGATGTTTCGTCCATCGATCTCTGACAACGAGAATTGGTGCATGTCTCTTCTCATCCAAAGCTACATCATCAGTTTGCGAATTCATGAAACAGTAATCTACCGTTACTACTGGTGTGGTTTTGTCTGAATGGTCCACTCTCTTGTGTGGATTTGCTTTGGCCTTTCCCCTAACACAGGCCTGACACCAAGAACGAAAGGGAAAATGTAAAACAGCGTGTTCCTCGAGCTCTTTTCGCGTTGGGCGAGCTGGAGCGTTGATCTTGAGCTCAGATGGAATTTCATCACCTGGCTCGGCTTCAGCGGCTTCAAAATCTGCCGGGGCCTCTTCGTCCATCGCCCTTGTCTGCGAGGGCTCCTGGAGAAAGTAATGGCTTGGAGACTGCCATCGCTCGAAAGCTGCACTGTCCCGTCAGGGCTCCATTGCCGATGCCAATCGTCACCTTGGCATTGATCTTGTCAAGATCCTTCACCGTCTCGCCTGAGGCGGTCTTGTAGACCTTTGAACTCACGCCATCAGGCTGAATAGGCTTGTAGCCCAATGCTGCGGCGAGGTCGACAGGAATACAGGAGGTGGCAGCTCCTGAATCCAAAGTCACCTGATGAGCCATTGGCGTCTCAATGGATGCCAGCTCCAAACTCTTGAGAGCCAATGGGTCTTCATCACCTTCATCAGGCTCACTTGAAGGTGTTTGATACCGCTTTCCCTTTCCTTTCTGGGTCTCGCGAGCGGCATCTTTTGCAACCACGTTGACAGCTCGAGTCAACTGCACCTTCTTCTGCTTGCCTTTCTCCTGGCCCTTCTTGTGGCCTTTCTCGGAGGCAGCCGGAGCCGAAGCGGCTCGGCTCTTGCCCGGGGATCGAGACCGGGATTTCAGTCGAAGCGTCTGCCTTGGTGCTTCGCTGGACTCCTCCTGCTTGGGTCTTGGCCCGCGGAATCGCTCCACGTGCTCTTCAGTCGGGCTTTTGAACTAGGCCATGCGCTCCTCCTTGGTCTTGCCCTTCTTCTCAGGAGGTGGAGGTGTCTTGGCGTCTTTGGACCCACATCATCTTCCTCTTCTTGCTCCTCCATCATCTTCTGCATCTGCGCAGTCATATAGAAAGGAGGTTCTTTCTTGACAGTCTCAAGCTTTGGACCTTTCATCTTCAAATGCTCTGCCACGTCTTCGGGCTTCAGATCCATATCTGCATCTTTCACATGCTTTGGCGCATCTTTTGCGGTTGGGCTACCTCGCTGTCCCTTGGCAGTCTTGATGCGCTTCTGCTTGAGAGACCATTCCTTTGCCCATTGATTGAGGACCTTTGGTGGGCAACAATTCAAAGCCATATGATGGTTCCATAGGCCAGTGTCGTTGTCGCACTTCAATGCCTTGTTGCATGCGCGGCAAACCATGTGCTTGCGGCCATCTTTGTCCTCGTGGGTGCATTTTGCTACCCGTTCATCATAGCTGAGGATACGCTCTTGGGACATATGATCGAGCCATGGCACGGGGTCTCCTTCTGGCTCTTTCTCTTCTTCTTGTCCATCAGATTCATCATCAGCTGGCTCAGTGCCATTCTCGTCATCCTCAACTTCATCTTCAAACTCTTCATCGTCAAATCCCTTGAACTCGGTCACATCAAGAGGATTGATGCTCTCCATGACTGGGGCAGTGAAGGATGGTGCACTTGTTGCTCCTTCACCATGGCTGTCAATGCGCCTCATCACAACATAATCTTCTGGGTTGAACCCAGCGGCAGTGAGTGCCTTGTCGATGACATTGCGGGCTGGATGGCTTGTAGCTGTCCATGTTTGGCTTTCCCGCTTCATCTCTGCCAGCTCTTTGGTGGAGAGATCTTCAATCTTGGGCTCCTTTTCTTTGGGCTTTTCAGCCTTGTCGGCCTTAGCCTTGGATGGCTTTCTACCTCGATGTCGTGGTGCACGCTCGCGTCCTCGAGGTTCAAACTCTTTCTCTTCATCATTATCATCATCATCCCATGCCTGGAGCTTGCCGGCGCCCTTGGCGCGTGCGATCTCATAGTAGTCCAATTCTTCTGGATACTTGGACTCATAGTCTCGCCAGGATTCAAAACGATGATGAGCCGTAGCAATTCGATGCTGCTCGGCGCGCTGGCGGCTCTTCTCCTTCTTCTTGGCCAATCTTGGATCCACGCCTGATGCCAAATCAGCTGAGAGCCTTGGCGACTCCGCCGGCACCGAAGCGGCGCGGTGAGGAGTTGGCTTCTTGAGCAAAATCTTGGCCTCTTTCTCCTTTTCCTCATACTGCTCTTTCAGCTTCCTCATCTCAGCTTGTTGCTCCAAGATGGCTTCATTGGCAGCTTTGCCTTGAGCCTCGGCCGCTTCAATGGCCTTTTGGATCGTCTCAGATCTCTTCTCATACAGTTCACGATTGGACTGCGTGGTCTCTTGGATTGCTTGGTTCATGACTGCAATCCCAGCAGCTGCAATTCCAGGACGACCTTTTCCAGCTCCTGGCTTCTTTGGCGTTGCCTTGACTTCAGTCTGGGCTTTTGCCTTGGCTGCTCCACGAGAAACTGCGGCAGGTGCTGCTTTCTCCATCTCGATGGCAAAGAGGGTGGCGATGTCAGCGGAATACTCAGGCTCGGGTTGGTGCTCTTGAGCCATAGGGTTTTCAGATTCCTCAACTGATGCTACCTTCTTATTCTTACTCTTGCCTTTACCTTTAGAGTCTTTGCCTTTGCCGCCTTTGCCTTTACCCTTGGAGTTTTGGTTGTACCAACTACTCTTGTTCCAATCATTCTTGTGCCAATCATTCCTATATTCCATGAATTGCTCCATGGCGAGGGATTGGACCATAAAGCGGGGTTCGAGTTGGTCCAACTTGAACCTTTCCCTTCTGTTTGCCTTTGTCGTTTCCCTTGCCTCCATCTTGACTCTTTCCTTTTCCTTTGCCGCCTTTTGAGCCACCTTTGCCCTTTCCTTTGGCTTTGGCCAGACTTGCAAGTGAAGACTGCATCTGGCTGGCAGCTGCGGCTAATGCTGCATCAACATCCATGGGTGCTGCTCCAGTCTTTGCTTCTCTTCGGCTCTCGATGTTCTCGAGGTAGGCCAAAATCTCTGACTTCATGATGGCATAGTCAGTGAGTCTTGAACTTTGGAGGTCAAGGTGATCTTGAAGTTTGGCTGGACACATCTGCTGAAGACAACTTCTTGCTATGTCGTCATCAAGAGCTTTCTTCTTTCGCTCTTCGTACTTTCGCCTGATGTTCTCCCAGGCTTCTACGCTCTCTCTGAGCTTGTCCAATGCACACTGTTGTGGGCGCAGGACCTTCTTCAGCAAAGCTGAGTTTGCTTGTGGGTTCTGTGGATCATACTTGGCGATCAGTCGTCGTAATGCCTCTAGGCCAAAGTGCTGACCTCTGGAGGTATTCTTGACAATCTCGAGGGCTTCTCGCTCACACAGTGAGATCAGAGCCTGTCGGGCCTGAGCTGAAACAAGCTCGGCTCCTTCAGGATAATCATCTTCCAGAGATGTCTCATTGATCTCTGTGTCTTGATGCTCTCCGAGGAGCTGAATGCACTTTCCTGCATTCTTGTGACTTGTCTCAATCCAAGTCTTGAACTTGAAGTACCATGAGTCCCAGGTACCTGTGTGTCCACTGAACTTGTCAGGCTTTGGAATGCCTTTCAATTCTGATCTGTCTCTTACTTCTACGCTGGTTGCTATGTTCCTTGTGATTGCTGTTTGCTGAGTGTATGCTTCTGCCATTGCTCGCTGTAGTTGGTTCTGCCCTTCAGCTAGGCCTTGCATCATCTGTGCAAATTGTTGTGCCATGTCTGTGGCTTCTTGTGCCTGTGCTCCTGGCTGTTGCGCCATGTTGACTTGCTAGCCAGGGATTGAAGCAATCCGGCTTTCCTGCAAGTGATGTTTGTATTCACGGATCTCCGGTGCCAGAACCGATGCAGTTCGGCAACCTTCGATTCGCAGACGGTAGCTGGGTCTTAGAACCGTGGCTCCGCTACCATGAACGGAGAATTTAGGCTCACAAACGTAGTGACTTAGGGTCACAGTCCCAAAGGTTGTACTTGAAGCTTAGGCACACTTTTAACTCACGCTTGAAGTAAGCAAAACGGCTGCAGTGAAACATACATCTATACAAAGCTATGGCATGTACATGTAACTGGTGCTACATCTGATCACAAACAAAAACGTTATATGTAAAAATTATACAACGATCCTAAACGTCTTCCAAAATGTCTCCACGTCCATTTTGCGGATTGAACATTGAACTTGATGGAACTTGTAGTGCTAAGACGCTTAATTAAGGCCCCAGTGATATTTACTGCTAATTGCATGACGTCGACTGAGTCCACTGCTGCTGCCGCCAAAGCCGCCGCCAAACAGCCACATCCTCCGGCTGCTGTCCAAGACAGCAGATAGAGAATATCGGCTGGAAGGGCCCCTGCCACTCTCCAGGGGAGCTATCCATGTTGGTGCGCCCGTCGCCTCGTGGCAAGCACGCTAGGCGTGCATTGGCAAGTTATAGAACAATCCTGGATATTACACGTTGAATTTGCGCAGGTCCAGGGCTCAAAGGTCCAGCTGCTGGACAAATTATGGCCCGTCTCTTGGCTGATCAAAGTCACTGCTGTCGCAACGTTGTATCCAAGTTGCATAGTGTGGCGCCCCAGAGGCATTCCAATTTAGCGGGAGACTTTCCATTGTCAGCCTACTGTTCACCAGTGTGGAAATGCTTTCAGAGCGCCGTCGCCTATTCTTTGAGGTTTGTTGGAAGTGCTGGAGGAACCTCAGCGTGAAAGATGCGATTGCGATATGGCATGTGGACACCATGGGGAGCGCGTCTGCAAGCCCTTGTAAAGGCTCTTTTTGATGTGGAAGAAGGCCTAAGCCTAACCTCACCCATACCTCGTCCCTGGAGCTTGTCCAACACTCCCTTTGGGAAAGGGAGTGACCCTCGTGTCTGGTAGATAAAGTGAGCTTCCCAACAACTGCAACGTCCACCCGACGCGGGGTTGTGTCAAAACGGAATTATATAAATGTTCACTACAGACGCAACGCAGCTGAATGTGCGTGGATTCACTTTGCAAAGGTGTGCCCAGAATGCAGTGTTTAGTAGTTGTCAACTCTGCCAATGCGTTATGGCAGCGAGGTGCAATGTTGGCGTTACCTGGGAAAGGAGAATGGCAGATGGGCAAGTTTGCAGTCAGAGGTTCATCACTGCCCATGTTTGAGGTGTCACGACCTCTCGTGACTCGCGCAGGCGTTCGTGTCGCGCCAGTTCTATCGTGTTCCGTTTCAGTCATGGTTCGACGTGCTGTGGGGGGGCAGGGGGGCCAACTATGTCGAGTCGAGACTTGTTGCGTTCGAGGGCCAAGGTGCACTGACCACAGGTTTTGAAGTTGTGTGTCTCTGTGCGTTGTGATTCTTCTTCGGTTGACTCGTCGTGACTCGTCTTTGTTCTTTCCGTCCCCGTTGTTGAACTTTTTTCCGGTGGTCATTTCTTACTTGGACCGTTTGCTGGACTTGGCGACGTTGGTTAAGGATTCATTAGGTCTCGCCGCGCTGGACATTTGTTTAGACTAGACCCTGACCGGTGGGTGTTAGATTTCTAGTGTCTTGAGGAGTGCGAGAAATTTTGCGGTTGTGTTGGCTGTCCGTGTGGGACGAATATATAAAACAATCGTACGTACCACCAAGGGTCACAGCCTCTTTGTTTGTGTTGAGTCGGCGTCTCTTACGCTTTCGCGATTTGTCTGTGACGTCAGCCATGCCGGATGGTCTTGCTGACGCAAACACTGTGCGTTGAACGTGTCGCACGCCGTCTCCCAAGCGAGTGTCCCACAGAACAGAAGAGCCCTGGACGCACGGAGCATCGATATCGCGGCCCTGTCTCTGCGGCGCTGACAAGTGTCTTGGGGGGATTCGCTCGATGGACCGATGAGGTTGCTGGAGTAGGTAGGAAATGTAGGCTTCCTGAGGCGACTCCAAGTCCTCGTACTTTGGGGTTGTCCAACTTCGCTCAAGAAGTGGAAGCCTGGACATCTAGACATGTAGGTCAATAGTTGCCCAAGTACTTCTTGCTATACGTCCGGATTGCTGGAGTTGCCTGACGTGTTGGTGGCTCCAAAAGCTAAGCCACCGGTGGAGTCGAAACGAGATGTGCAGGCTTCGAGGTTGTTTGCACACATCAACGCTGGCACCACCTGCTACACCGATGGCAACCGATCTTGGAAAGTTGTGGCCAAGGAGGTCAAGAAGCGAATTTTGGTCAAATCCGTCAGCCATCGCAAACCAAGAACCTCAAGGAGAAAAAACGGAAAGGCGCTTCTGCCATTGGTGGGGCGCAACAACTAGATCGGTGCTGGCACCATTTGAAGCGCTTCGTCGCTTACAACCTTAAGACAAAACTCAAAAGGAAAGTGAATGCTGCCATCTTGGACAAAACGTTCCAGTTTGTGTGGAAGTACAATGCCTCCACGCAAGATGCCATGAATAGATTGGCGTCGTTGTGAACTCACTGGCGCGGTGAAAACTGATGATGCAACTTTTTGGGGGTTGGAGGGAATGGTGCGCTTGTGAACCCCAATGTAAATGCATATAAATGTTCAAAAAAGAGAGATAAATAGGCAGAAAAATGACCTGAGACTTAAAAGTAAAGCATCTACAAAACACTCAGAATTACCATGAATTGATCCACGATGATATAAGTGCCATTGCCATGCCCATGACTACGCGAGTCATTCGGGGTCGTGTTACCATGTTTGACACAAGTACTATGTGCTTGGAAGCTTCTAGAGCTTGTGGCCAGGATGCGTTGCAGCAACCGAAATCATATGAAAGAGACGTGCTTTTCAACTTTGAAGCGCAAAGCGGGTCTAGTATAGAATCTAGTTCAAGTGTCACCATGCCTCCAGGATGGCTTCACTGGGATGAGGCTGCTGCCAGAAGATCGCTCTGAGCAAAACAAAATCCTTAGGCCCGTGCTCCATGAAGGGATGAACCACACAGGAACAAGGTAGGGATCTCTGTCTTGAGACGCAATTGCCAGGAAAGCGCCACATATCGAACACATATCGAAAGCGCCTGGTCCTTCTGGCGAGAACCGTCAGATTGAGAAGCAAATGAGTGGATGAGTTCCAAGTGTACGAGTTCGAGCGAGGTGACTGCAATAGGATTGTTCAGAATGTAGAGCGTTGCTCAATCTTCTATGGGGTCAGGGTTAGAGAGATTGACACACTACAAAGGCATGGCACTTGACAACGAACAAGAAAATACCACTCATCATCTACGCTAAGTTTCCAGATGGAGAAAAGATTCCTTGGAGGCCGCCATACGTGGAGGCATTCGCCAACAAGATTCCCAAACAAGGAGTTCAAGCATCCACCAACACAGGAACAAACCCGGGCGGTGGCTGAGGAAGTGCCGATGGTGGTGATGGTGTTCCACTGGATGGTAGCATGCCTGGTAGGCCACAGACATCCAACACAGTTGCATGACTGACAGATGTGGACAAAGACAAGTTGTTGTTTTGCTTTTTCGGGTTTCAAGGTGTTATTCTTCGTTCATTCCGTGAGTTTTCTTTTTCATCTGTGAATACTTTGAGCACTTGGTCGCATGGTCGACTTCGGTGAGCTCCGCGCCTACCGCGGACGCCATTTTGTTCGAACACTTCAGCCCGAGGGGCTGACCGACTCGCGTGAAAAGAGCGCGAGGGCTTTCATGTGCTACCCACAGTGGTAGCGGAGCCACGGGTGACATGGCCGGCGCCGCTTCTACCGCTGCGGCTAGCGAAGCTCGCGATGTTCCTCCTGCATTTGACGGGGGTGATCCCCATGCATTCAAGCGCTATGAACGCGACCAGGCCCTGTGGAAATTCGATACCGAGGTGGTCAAGGCCAAGCATGGTGTACGGATGATCCGTCAGCTGACGGGCCCTGCTCGAGCCGCTGCCGACGAGGTGCCCTTGGACAAGCTCTTGTCGGAGCAAGGAGGCGAAGCTGTGTTCAACCTACTTGGAGACTGCTTTACCTCGCGCCTTTGAAAAGGCAGTCTATGCTGAGCCACGGAAAGGAAAGGAGACCCTGCAAGACTACATCATTCGCATGGATGCAGCGTTCAAGGAGCTCAAGGACGAAGGGGTCTCTTTGGAAGAGGTGGTGAAAGGCTATGTGATCTTCAGGCAGGCCAACCTAACTCAGGTCCAGGAAGATCAGCTGACAACATGGACGGCTGGATCAAGGCCTTGTGCAGGTTAGAGAAGGTCCACCATGAGAAAGCCACCAAAGCCTATGTCATCGACTCCGACGAGGGTGGGGTCTACCTGCAGGATGAGCCCTACGGCAACTCCTTTGAGGACGAGGACGAGAATTTTGTTTGGATCAATGATGGAGACTTGGATGAAGTGTTCAATGAAGAGGAACTCCATGAAGCATTAGCCACCTATCAAGAGGTTCGTCAAGCACTTCGAGATCAACGATCCCAGCGGAATCCATGGAAGGGTGGCAAGGGCAAGTCCAAACGGGAGTTCGGAAAGGGCAAGTCTTTCCCAGGTCCATTCCGAGGAAACAACGAAGCTGGAGGTCGACGAGTACATGTGGATCCACATGCTGAAGCTGAGGACTAAGTGTGCCCGATGTGTTCAAATTGGACACTGGGCCAAGGAATGCACCAGTCCGCCTGATGCACATGCTCGTAACAAAGCAGCTGATCGGGATGTCAAAACCGGCTTCTTCGTCGCGGGCGAGAAGTTGTGGTACAACATCCCCCACCAACACTTCTACGAGGTCACCCTGGGAGATTGTTTTCGAAAAGGGAACCCTATGTTCTGCGGCATACAGACCGATGCCCATCAAGGGGTTGTGGACACCGCGGCTCAGTCGGGACTGATTGGGAACTTGCCCTCCAAAGACTTCAACAAAGCCTTCGTCAACGGGGTCTTCAGGGCGTTTGGACTGGGAAGAGTGCTCAAGCCCGAGGGGTCCGTGGAGAAGCTCAGGTGTGCGGGGTGATCGAAATTCCACTGGGTCTCGGGGGTCTGTCCGGCATTCTGGAGTGCACGGTCGTCAAGGAAGACGTTCCACTCTTGTTGCCCATTCGCCTCCTTTGAGAGTTGCAAGCAGTGGTGAACCTAGATGCCAATCAACTAGTGTTGCAACACCAGATCAAGATCCCCATGAACACGCTTCCCTTGGGACACGCCTCGATCGATGTTCTGGACTTCGGAACTTCGGGTTGGAAAATACCCAGTGCCGCATTGGCAGCTGGGCGTTGTGAACGGGACTTCAAAGTCTATGTTGCGTGCCTACCAGTCATGAGAGGACCAAACCCGTCCTTTTGCAAACGAGCCCATCCGTCCCCATTCAGCTGGCTGGCCATGGAGCTGCTGAAGCAACTGCAACGCCAACGAGCGCAGGACGAGATGGGCGCCATGGAGACCACCGAGTACGCTAGGGCCATCCTACATTGGCGTATCATTGGCGCAAAGG